TGAAGACTAAGTACTGATTAACATTTTTAAAAAATAGCTTCCCATTGACTCGTTATTTATCCTTCCACAGAGAGAGAGAGAGATAGGTTTCTATTTATCGTTATGGCATGAATTTATGTGACATTAAAAATTCCGATCAGGCAAACTGCATGGCATTTTGTCTGCATTTCAGGATTCTAGGATAGCGTTTCTATAACAACGAAGAACTGAAATGTCAAATGATACATAGAAACAATTTTCAGGAACAGGGAAACGGACAAGAAAACGGATGTTTGGTCCTGGTGAATATCACTGATAATAGAGTAAACAAACTGATCACTGTTCAGGGCCTCAATTAATTGTACATGCAGAGGTCATGTAGGAGTCCTAAATGTGGCCGAGAACTCAAGTTTCTAACATACGATGCCACGAAACATATGTGCATGTTTCTACTGAAAACCACAACCCAGTTAATATTGTCAACCGTCACACATGCACAAAACATAAACATGAAGTTAAAGCACATGTTAACATGCTTTAATTGATCTCTCATTTCATAAAAATGATGTTAGTGGTTAATTTAAATTTAGCCTTCATGTTTCTTTAATAAACATTCAAATATTGTCCTTGAAAAACATTCAGCAGCATTGTTGTTTTGTAAAATATTCCCCAATCTAAAATTGATCCTTATATGCAGGTCGTGAAAGGTTTTCTTGGGGAGTACTTTGTTCAATACCGAGGTCTGCATTTCATTGGAGTACAAACGACTTTCTGTCGCATGGGAATATTTTGAATGAAAATCGTTAGAGAGCTCTAAGCCAAAGGTGTCTGTTCAGGACATGAATAAGCCCTGGTCTGTATTTAAGTCTCGAGAGCTTATAGAAATCACCACTTTCTTTCTCTAGGCTCACTCATGGTTCAAAGATTACACTCTTTGGGCAAATTTTCCTTCGATTTCGTTCAATAGACCCATAATAACCTGCAAATATTTTGAATGGGCTAAACCTCCTTCCCCTGGGGATGGAACTAAATGGAAAATTAGCGAGATTATTCCAGGGATAAGAATCAAATCGCACGAGGGGTACAGCAGGCACTTGATGGCTTGTTTGCCTAGCTACCGGGAACATTCTCCACAAAAGCTAGCTCCAATTTGTTTGATCAGCGACATCTCTGCAAGTATAGTTGAACACTTCCGTTGCCTAATCCAATTCCTGGACCCTCTTTGTAATTGGCCCTTCTTGAATGGGAAGAGATAGCACTGCCTGTAGGTGCATTGCTGCGAAAATTCAATTTTCTTTTTCTAGACCCTCTATCGATTAGAAAGCGCCACCAATAGTAGCTGTAATGACGGCGGAGATCTCATTAGCCTCAGAAGTCGACTATCCCAACGGTTAAGCCGGACCCTGCTCTATGGACGAGTAGAGTTTGCGATAGAACGAGCGCCCCAAGTTGCTTTACAAGAGTCTTGATACTGATATAAACGGGATAGATTGCTTGGCGCAAGACCAGAAAAGAAATTGCATTTTATACGAGCCACTATCAGTCTCTGTACAGCTCATTATCAAGTTACCAAACAGAACCCGTAGCCTTTGTGACGTCATAACATATAAAGAACTATTTCAAGAATGTTATGTCTGCGTTTGACCGCCCCCCGAATCATTGGAATTGCTCCCACCTCGTCCAAGTTCACCTTTAATGGACAGATGAGACCTAGAGAACATGGTGCTGTAAAACTGGAGTTTGAGATGCAGCTCCGCCAAGTATATTGCTACCGGAATTGTCATTTTGTTCACGACAATTCCCAACGGTTCCAATAAATACCATTCAGTGTTAGCGTCAACTCTAGACAATATCCTAAAAAACAAATCGAGGCCTGTATAATCTATTTCATGCCGCCTCCCATAAGAGACAGCTGCCATGGAAACCATCCGCCACATGTTGAAAAATAGATCAGATAGAGGAAACAATGTTGATAGAAGCAATGCATGTTTGTTATATAGTGTTTGTAGCGCGAATAGATTCAATATATGATTGAATTCTACACCCTTGGGGCATACATAAAACAGAGAAGAAATTGAAACAAAGTTTAATTAAATATATTCTAAGAAAAGGCACACAAACTGTTATATTCCTAAGATAATCCAATTTTGTGAGACACAATATATTGCTTTACACACGCACACGCACACGCACACGCACACGCACACGCACACACAGAGAGAGGCTGTGGTTTTTCTCTTGACTTGCAACATGTGATACTTTGAGAGGTCGTCTTAGGTGACTCATTGTCCAAAGTCAAGAATGTATGTTTTTATCTTTTTAATGTAAATGTGCCTTATCTGCTTCTTTTATAATTTTTAATTTTAATTCCAACAAAATTCCAAGGAAAGGACATAGGCACCCGATAATAGTATTAGCTTTACTTTTAACCATATTTTGGTACCATTATAACAGTCACATATTTATAGCGGTTGTGTGTACGTTTAAAAACAGAGCCTGTATATGTGTCGGTGAAGTCACTTCAGTCTCCACGTTGTAGTGAAGTTGCAGTGAAGGAGCAGATATGATGATGCAGGTGGCGAGAAACTTCCGAAGTGGCTCAAGAGCCCGTTAATGAGAGGAAACGTGTCGGCTTCTGCCCTTCCTTACCTCTAGGAAGAAACCCCATATGGTGCACAACAGTCAGACCCTTCAAAAGATATCCACTTTGGAAGAACAAACTGTGGCCCGACTAGACCTATAAGTACATTTGTCAGGTTGGATCTGCCTGAATTTACCAATGACGTGAAAGGGGGAAAGGTTGTTTGTGCAACTTGGGAACACTCTTGTTAAGTATTTGCTGCCTAAATTGCTTGTTATGAAACTGAGGGAGTCTGGAAAAGGAGGTTGTTTTCATGCAGGTCGTACATCAAAGCGACTCAAACCTGTTCCATATTCATAATATATCTGTACTACACGCAGTGTGTATTGCACAAACTATGCTGTATCACAATGATTCATTTATGAAACACTGACAAATAGTTAAGGTACAAGGTGGCATCCGTCTCCTATCCAATATTTAGAACCAGTCGAAGCACGCCATTCTTCCACCATCCCGCAGCAGTGACAGATATGGTAATGTTGTAATTCTCACAATTTATGAATTAGAATAGCTATGAAGTGAGTAATATTTTTAGAGGTATTCAAGCAATATCATGGGGATGAATAACCAGTTGCAAAGCATTCGAATCGCCAACATCTTAGAGTTAATCAATACACGAAAGTTATCGATGGAAATACAGTAGAACATTCAGGACAATTTCATAAATTCGCATTCAAGTTTAAGTGATGACACCAGGTATTTGTGAAACGGGTTGGCATGGGCTTCTCTGATGACCCAAGGTTACAATGTAAGTCATTAGTACAGTTTGACTGTAGCTGTATAGCTCATGGCCGCCGTGATATTGCTGGAATATTGCTAAAAGCGGTGTAAAACAAAACTCACTCACACACCGTCTAACTCATGGAAATAGTGGATGAAAACATTTATTCCGAACGTCAGGGTGTTGACAAGGCTTCAATACTGGAAACGTTCCACTGTAGCTATTCATAGTCTATAGAACTGATTGGAGTTATTGAAAACACCCAACTGTGATCGTGCATCGAAATTGTTTGGAAAACCGGATTACTTTGTACACGTCACACAATATCTTCAATAAGACTAATGTTTAAATAGGTATTTCGATTTAATGATTGCTTTTTGAAGAATCTAGATGTTGTGTTCGTTTTGTACAAACCTATATATCGCCGGGCCCACCGGTGTTGACAGCATATTGTCATGCGTTGATGTCACTTATCTGTTCCAACTGATTCATGCTCTGGTTTCGAGTTACCAGACTATAAGTCAGATGGGGCAAAGAATGAATCACACTTTATTATATTATGATGCGATTTATATTCTTATACCATTGTCGAGCAAAAGTGATCTATGCCGAAACGCTGCATCATAAAGTTACATTCCATAAGAGTCATACTTTTCTTATAACTCATCAACTTCTACAATGATCGGGAGCTCAAAATGACAAATTCGTTGAGGTTGTTGTTTGCTCGGTGTTCAGATTTTGCCATCTTACTCGGATTGTGTAAGGGCCCCTTTGTCAATGCTGTAACATCACAACTCTTCCTTGTTAGGGCTCTGACTCACTGTTTAAATGTCATATGAATGTGATTCCTTCGATGTAGCCGGCGTTTAATCATGCTGCAGACTATGTTTATGTACACGAGTATTGCAAATATACTAACCCGAAACGAAACTCGAAATAACTCGAATGGACAATTATGTATTGTATCCTTTTTTAGAATCAAACGCACATTTATCAAATATGTAAACAATGTTAACGATAGTTTAACGTTAACCATAGATACTGTTGTTCTTCGCCTATACTGTCACATGTTAAAGTACTCGTGACGTGAAAATAAAATCATTATACGTTATACTTCAACAACTTCCTACTTTCGCATTTTATCAACGGCTAATATAGGTGCTGAGTCACTGGTTTACCTTGGAGTAAGTGAGTGAGTTCAGTTTTACACCGCACTCAGCAATATTCCAGCTATATGGCGGCAGTCTGTAAATAATCGAGTCTGGACCAGACAATCCAGTGATCAACAACATGAGCATCGATCTGCGCAATTGGGAACAGATGACATCTGTCAACCAAGCCACCGAGCCTGACCACCCGATCCCGTTAGTCGCATCTTACGACAAGCATGGGTTACTGAAGGTTCATTCTAACCCGGACCTTCACGGGTACTGGTTTGCCTGGTCCAGAGTCGACAGCAAAGGGTGAATCTTTCTTTACTACACGTTGATCATCACTGGACGTTCACTCAAGGCTGTAGCTGCTTTGTTCTCCACAGTTGTAGTTACCCCAACAGTGGCAAGCCATAATGTCAATGAAATACAGTTCTGGACATTGTGAAACCTATATGAAGTCACAGGTCAGGTGGTATTTTGCTAACGAAGTCTTCTTTCCTTTCAGTGTGCTCCCATCTCTCGAACGGCGTCTTCGCCATCTTCGGTGTATCGAATGCTTCATCTCTGGCCACCATTCAGTCGTACACCAACACCTTCAAGGTCCCCTTCCTCACATTCAGTATGGCTCAAAACACATCATCCAACAATTCCTTCCAGATTTATATGCGCCCACTGTTTGTCAATGCCATCATCGATGTTATAGCTCACTATGAATGGAAGAGGATCTACTATATATACGACACGGACGAAGGTAGGGGAAACATGTGTATCCACTTGAAATAATCTGCTATAATTGTCTGGTTGGGACTGGTATGTCCATACTGATATATGGAACAGTCACTTTAGCCAACACTTTGCAACTTTTGGAACCACCACGCATTGTTTTTCAGGACAACCGACGAATATATTGGATGATTTGCTTTTACTTGAAACATAAGGACAAATTATTTGTTCAGGTTTTCAGTAGCGGGTTATTGTCCAAGACAAACAAAATCACATGCCTCCCATCATATCAAACGGTCAGCCTTTAGGAAAGCTATAATTTTGAAATAATTTGTGTATGTGCACAAAGCAGTTGATCAAACACAATATCATGCACATGTGTCTGGACAGATACAGTTGGTGTTCGATCTAGATACTGTAATGGAACTTTATGTAGATTCCATCAGAGGCAGGAGACAAATGTCCCTGTGGGTTTCCCAATGTGTCTTCATTGCCACAGGTTGTCAATCAAAATGGGAATTATAATTCCAGAATATATAGATAATATTTCGTATCTGTTCGAAGGGATTCAGCTCATGACAGCCGCTTGTCCGCTTTAAGTAGTCGCATCGTGACTGGGGATACTGAACAGTGGGGCATGGCAGGGTGTATTGCATCTTGTCTGTGTATGTCTCAGTTTCTTCTTGCTCATTGTTTTTTAAAATCTCGTGTATGGTGTAATATTACTAATGCATCGTCTTACTATTACCGACACGTGTTATTTCTAATTACATATTACGTCTCATAATTCCTAAGTTTGCCATCTTCATTCTCCCCACGAATATTGACGTCATTATTTTAATGTTTCAACCAATTTCCCCCCCTTACATATTTGGGTTTGCTTTCCAATGCTAGGTACAGCTGACGTCTTCCGCATTTCAGTGGCTCTCCTCACCAAACATCAATGCGATGTATAAAGGGGTTGACAAACTAAAAGCACTACTGTAGACAGGGCTTGTCGCATCCTTCCCTCTAATATGTTGCCTGACTACTAGTATATTTATTCAGTCTCTGTAACGTCGAATTCCTGTAGCTGAATGTTTGTAGTTTCGAGTCAAGTGTGATTATTGTGTTTCATTTGTTTGCAGGTTTAATTCGTCTGCAACAGCTCTTCCAGTCTGTAAATATGCACGAGTATGTGTTAGACATCAATGCAAAGCGAGTTTCGTCAGTGGAAAACTGTTATATGGTTCTAAGGGACCTCCATTTAATGGAAAGCGAGAATAACCAACACCTGGTTCTAGACATGGAAATTGGGAAAACTCAAGATGTTATTTTAAAAGTGGTATGTGTATTTTTGCTATTTTAATTATTAGTTGATGTATGTTTTTGTGATAGTGAATGAACATGCTTTTGCGCCGCGTTTAGCGATATTTCAGCAACATCACAACAGGGACACAAGAAATCGACATGACCAATCATTGAGGTATGGAGACCCAGGGAGATAATACGTAGCTTGCTTTAATTTAGCAAGGATCGTATTCAGTTGTGTAGCTTAGTAGCCAAAGCGTCCGCTAGGTACGTGGTAGAACGGGTTCGATGACCAACGGGTGAATTATATAATGAAACAAACAAACACCACCTTAACAGATTAAGTTGGAAGATACCTTTGATCAATCGGACCCAATATCCATGCGGTGTTCCGATGCAATTCCCTATTTTGCCTCACACCATACGTTCCCGAATTATTTCAGGTGAACAAATTACTAGACTTAGCATAATGTTTATGACGGGTGACACCGGTGGGGCAGGACACGCTCACCTTTCCGCGAACACCCGGTGTCATCATTATGTCATAGTGATTCATAAACACATGCTCTGTCATCGTACTGCATGGTGACAATCACTAGATTGTCTGGTTCAGACCCGATTTGTTTACAAACAACATCATACAGCTGTAATATTGCTGAAACAAATATCTGCTCGTGGTAAAGTCACAATTGTAAAATCGACTCTGTTTTTGGCAGGTATTTCTTATGACTATGGAAAGGGTTTTGTCGCTTTTGTTCTGTATTATTACTAACGAGCGGCCGGATTAGTGGTGTTTCATACACCACTTGATTTGTGCATTTGTGCATTGTATTGAATGACACTGAAGCATCACTATTGAATATTGGGTTGAACAAAGAGTGTAAGCAATGCGTAGATCCCCATGAAGCACCTGATCAATATCCGGCTGCCGTGGGTGACGTTGCATAGAGATGTCATAAATGGTTGTAGTTTGAGGGACCCAGGATGGAGAAGCGTTATTGAGGAGGCAACTCATTGCGGAATGGCAGGTCACAATAGCAACACATTATAACTATGATTCTCGGTGTATAAAATGTTACTTATTAGCAACGCATCAAAGAATAATTATATATATGACATAAAAGAATAATAAACAAATTTAAATTACCTGAATATATTTCCAGGTTTTTACTGTTATTGTATTCCATTTCAGAAGACGGATCCTAACATCAACAATGTAAAATTTCATTTTTTGATAGCAGAATTGGTAAGTATACATTTAAATACATAACCTTCCACAAGATTTCTTCCCGACTCGACGCCTTGCGACGCAGTAGAGTCCAAGTGTCTGGACAAAACTCAGCATGAGTCCCACATAAGCATTTATTCAGAAAGTGAATGTCCAATTTCCAAATATCTACATACAACAAAGACCTCTTATTTTTTATGTTGTTGCTAAACATTTCAAACTATAGGGTCTGTTTTATAATGCAAGGAAGGAGAATATGCATCTGAAAAAAGGTTAAATAACTATTTCGGATAACTGTTTCAAAATATGTCAATGCACCATCGACCTTGGGTTCTGGCCTCCAATATGAATATGCCGCTTTGTGAACCAGAGCAGACAATTTTGTCGGAAAATACAAAGCAAGCACGGTTTCTCGAAATAGCTGTGTTTTTAGAACAACACATTAGATTAAGTTATTTTCGAAGTGTGATAACAAATACACAATGAAATATGTCATCACTGCCAGTACTACTCACGGCACAGTAATGTACTAATGCGTGATGTTATCAAAGCTAACATTGACACTGAATCTAGGGACAAACGGTTCGATATTAAGTGTGAATCTGCTGATCTTGATAAAGCCTTTTCAGAACGCTTGTCACAATGATCAACGTTCTTAATAAATCAAATGCCAACGGACTCATAACATAAAAGATTAGTTATCATTATTTACTAATACCCCAGGGCAAACTGCACTGTTCATGAAAGGCCTTCAAGACCCACGTAGGCGATTATGCACGAATCTGTGACATCATGAATTACGATTTCTCGTGATATCTTCGGCACTATCGACATGAATCCGGTACATTATTTACTGATCTAGAATTACGAGAACTCTTTAGGCGATCGAACATAAATCTAATGTCAAGACCAAAGAATGAACGTCTGAGATCTGGTTTAAAACAAAATCATTTACTTTTGCTGATGTCCTTTTGATTACATTTGTTGCAGGTGTTACGTTTGATAAGCAATTTTACCAAGAACCAATATTCATCCTTTGCCAAGAATAGAAAGGAACGCAGTAATTTCAATGAATCGGAATTTATTCATCTGAAATAACAGTTTACTTAAAGTACCGAGTGGAAACAATTGTTGATTTGAAAAAAGGGTTACGTTGATTTCAAAACACATTTATTCTCCATTTAAAGGATTTCAGAAATCGGTTTGTCAATTTCATCACGATGTTTTAAATATAATTCACTCCGAATCTTCCTGATTTGCACTTTGCTCTTTCGCAATACCAATTGGGGAAGTTTAGCTGATACCTGACTGCAGCAATCACACAAGCACTACCAATACAGAAAAAAACATTACGTAAGAGCCATGTGATCGATGTGCCCCTTTGCACAGGATACGATGCGTTTGTAATAGGTATGGTATGTGAAAAAGGCGCGTTTAATTGAGACGAAAATACAAATTCTTGAACCAGCCTGAAAAAAAACTATTTTGGAACTCAGTAAAAACGTTTTCATTTGCAGATAAAACATCAAATATCTTTCCATAAAAAGCAAGGATACTCTCCTCTACAAATCAGCTTAATGCACAACGCACGTTGAACTTATACATATGTACATAACCTTCATTTTGGTGAGCAGCATTTTCATGCACTACAGCAGCGTATACGAACCATCTTTGCTGGTGTCACATAAATCACAAGAATATTCCCTGATGGTGTGTCTTGCATAACTGCTTTTCCAACGGGACGTTTCATTATTGCTCCATCTCAGACTGTTTTGAATTTTCCAAAGGAATACTGGTTTTAACTGAAGGGTTTGAGATATTAGTATTCATGAGTACACTAACTACATTGTTTGCTCTCGTTTCATGCTGAAGGTAATTAAATGAAAGTCATTCATGTTTCTATTTTCATCTTACATGCTAGTATGTATTTTTTGTTCCTGGGACGTGGTGCATTGAACGTTAGTTCGGTTGTCGTATATAAGCAGATGAACACATACTGACTTGCATATCGTTATGGCATGCTCATATCAATGAACCCCTGTTGACCACCTTCTGTAACATTCTGTACTGATATTTCAGTTCCAAATAAGGTCAACAGGCTGAAATCTACACGTTACCGATATCTACATTGATTCATGTTTGTCTAACATATGTTCAAATTCCGTTTTTCAGGGTATACTTGAAATGAATCTGACACACTTCACCATCGGAGGTATGAACATCACCGGATTTGAAATCATTGACCCAAACAACTCCACCGTGAGAACCTTCCTTGACCAGTGGGCCAATATGGACAGCAAGCAATGGCCAGGAGCCGGACATAAAAGTATTAAGGTCAGCTAGACATGGTCCTGCTGTGAGCAGTGTCATTAATAAAGTGTCCGTATATCATTTGCTTGATCACGGTGTTAGGATCTACATATAAAAGTCGCATCTATTATAATAAAGAAGTTATCTCTCCATAAAAATATTTCCTCTTCATCACACCAGCTTCTAAATGACACTTAAATACGTCCAGTATATCCGTTTACCAGAAATACCACTTATTGTAGGAATAAAAATCACCATTCTATCATCAATAGAACAGCACATAAATCCGGAAGAATTTTACTGTGTACTATATATTTCCATATGAAATAGACGTGCTAAAATCCCTCTGCTGTTTCAAAATTATATATTTCTAAACACCTTTTTGTATGATATGTTATGTTCTCATGCTGAAAACAAACAGACAGAGAAACCGATGATGTCATAGTATGTTAGGCAGCCGTTCCTTTCCAGTAGTTAAGTGAGATGGTTTACAATGTACGTTCATCTGCTTACTTCCATCATAACGATCATAATAATCATTCGATTTGACCCAGTCCCATCTGGAGGAACATACAGTCTGTCTGTACACACTTTTCAACTGATAACATTTGTAACTTAGGCGTCTATGAAAATACAAAATCAACATGTGAACTGGCATTATATGTTGATGTTTCCAATATAACCCATGACAGTTTAGGGTGGATGTAAAGATAGACTCGGTCGTGCTTAGCATTGTTCTTGTGTATGGGGGTATGAAGATTAGGTTCCAAAACAGCATCTGAATGATATCATATCGGTATCCTCAACCACTTTAATCTGTCATTGTTTTACTCCGTGTAATTATCATTTGTTTCATAAACATTACTTTGACATGTAAAACCAAATACGTGTAGATATTGAAATATTGACTGAAAATACCGCTTTGCTATACATTTTCTGTTGTTGTATTTCTGTTGTCTTCATTATTGTTACGTGTGTTGCAAGCCGGCAGGACAAAGACAGTGCTTGATTATCCATATCTGACCGGGTCCATGCATGTACCACAGCCAAATCTCTTGCTCATAATGGATGGACCCTTTCCTTTGCATTCCCATTTGTGATACCGCGATATTCTCATGAGGTATTGGGTGTGAACATTCAGGGCGCCGCAATATTCGAAGTGAAGGGTTGTATACCTTAGGTGGTCCAAACACATGTTCATGGGTTCGAAACCTGGAATCGCCCTTATTACGCTTTTAAGTTTCTCACCATTCATGAGCTCGTTGGTTTTACTGAAGTGTTAAATATCTAAGAGCTGCATCGCGTCCGCTTTCCATCATTGTACCTCAAGCTGAGAAGATGAGATATGGCTGAAATGGTGGCCAAACCGTTGCTGAACCAAACTCACTTAATCACTTCTAAGCTTCCCAAATTAGCTTGATCCCACATGGTAACAGACTCAGCATCCTTGAATGACCTACATGGATACAGAGGATATAACATAACACTCCACTATGTCTCTAGCTTATCGTTGGGTTTCTTTTGATCTCCTTTTTACTGGTGTTAACATCCACATTTTCGCTCCAATCTCCATTTATATTATATTTCATTCCTTTGGAAACTGTCTTTCATGAATATGACCCAGCTCGTATTGCTGCAGATCATTATTCAAAATCTCAACACAGTGGCCCCTACCGACGAAAATGACATTCCACCAACACGTATAGATTTTCAGACTACAAAGGCTTTAAAAACTTCAGAATAATACTACTAGGGGTGTACAGACAGATGAATCGTTAACTCAAACCATGAGTGTTAACTTCACTTCCCAAGAGATCTACAAGAAGATAGAAAAATCCTTTAATCAACTAAAATACACCCTTCAGAGTTCCACGGCGGACACTAGCATGAAAATAACTAGCTTGGGAGACAACCACCTCTTCTGTTGGTACCATGATAGATATTCGCGGAATGAGGAAAGACAGTACCTTTCGCTGTGTGTGTTATGTAGATCTTGTCGAAGGTCTTGTATTGAGTTTAGCTTAGAACGATGCAGACTCATCCGACTGTCTTCATTTCCCTTGGGAATGTTACATGCACGGAGAAACTTAATCAAATTCCTTTGAAATAATTGTAGAAAGTAAATTTGTGCCTTTGATGTTTATTCGCAGACAGGACATTTGTTCGCTAGAATACCAGATGCATGTTTAACAAGTGCAGAGCAAAAAACCACCTGCAAACGCCTTCCATTTTCAGGACTGTAGTTTTTGCTCATTTCCTTCAGACCAGTTACTCGCCTACGTGGTCAGTCCACCTGTGCGGATCTTAAATTTAAACCAGCAAGTACACTAACACATAGCATGTACATTTTTACACCATCTTACAATGAATTCAAATTATGTTCGTACCAACTAATAATGATAAATTAATATATTTTAGCATAATTGTAGGGAATGGTTACTTTTAACAATGAAACTGTAATTAAAAGAGTGTTAAGGTGTTCTTAACATTTAATTATATTACTGTAAGCTAGAACTACATAAGGGCAATTTATTTTATCAGTCAAAATACTTCGAATATTTAAAAATAAATAAAAATGTGTAGGTACTCTCGCGCTAAGGCTAGGAAAACAGATTGAGTTCATAAATTATTACTTATGATAACTGTATGATTACTATGATAACTGCATGGTGATGTTAAATATATTCATCAGGCAATTTTTCGAGATATCTGTCTGCCTAGGAATGACAAGTCTTTATGGCTGAGACCGCCTCCGTGGTGTAGTGGTAAGAGCGTCCGCCCGGAGAGCGGAAGGTCGCGGGTTCGATCCCCGGCCGCGTCATACCAAAAGACGTTAAAATATGGTACTTGTTGGTCCCTGCCTGGCGCTTGGCATTAATGGGTACAACAAGGACTGGTCGGCTCGGAGTCAGTATAATGTGTCTGAGTGGGGTATTCATGTTTCACTGCGGCATGGTATCTCAGTGGGCTAGCACTATTGAACCAGCTTAAATCTGGGCTAGTACAAGCAGCCGCACATACACATAAACACGCATGCACGTCGTCATATGAGCGAAATATTCTCAAGCACGACGTTAAACCCAATTTCACCTCACCTCTTTATGGATGATCAACTTCTTTATTGTACAATATCGATGTTTCGGTATAGATGCTTATACCGTTTTCAAGCCGAAACGTCGCTATTGTACAATAAAGAAGTTGATCATCCATAAAGACTTGTCATTCCTATTGCTCACAACTTCTAGAATACCTCTCAAACAGTTCATCTGTCTCCCTTTCAGTATGAAGCAGCTTTAGCGGTAGATGCTGTCAATCTGTTTATTCGTGCTATCGGGAAGATCCGTGGTACAGATCCCAACTTTTTACACAATAGAAGATTCAAACATACCGGCAACAAAGGTATAAAGTGCACAGATAACTCTGTTATCGACACGGATCATGGCTCAAGGGTCCTTAAGGAGCTCAAAAAGGTGTGTATACCCTGCAGAACAATTGAGGGCCGGTAGATTCTTTTCGAGTGCATTCAAGGTGTCCTCATATTATTCATATGTATAATGTCATTCGATGTTTGGAAAGACCGGGAAAACGTACAAATGTAAAACAACATACCTTCACCTATTATGTCTGCCAGCTGGTACCATTCAATACGATTAATTTGTATTCTACTTACCTTATGATATTTATTCTACTTGCAATGAAAACAATTGTATCGCAGACATCGTGACTACAGAACAATACGATTTGGATGCATTTCACTACTTACTACATAAATACGTATTATTAGCAGTTCACCAAAGGATACAAATATACTTTTCTCTTTTCTAGACCCAGTTTAATGGAATAACTGGAAGGGTCGCTTTCGACGACTATGGCCACAGGAAAGACTTCTCCCTTGAAGTGTACGATGTGGCCATGAACCGGGGAGCAGCCAAGGTGAGATCGGAGGCGTGATGTCTACGTTCTTCTGCTATTACTACAGCTATCTACTGCAATGGTCATGGAGACATATAGATAATGAAATGTTTCTGACAAGGCCAATGTCTTATGCCAAATTGCTTCTTTTGCTGCGTAAATATAGGTTCCGTAGATAGATAGCTGTTTGATTTGTCTGCCAAATATTTATATAATGCCAGTCCCTTGCTAAAGGAGATATGTAATAGAGTTTCTTGGGACAGTTATGGACGATGTGTATCATAGTTTGAGAAGAAAGGATCACTCAGTTGGCACCTGTTTGGAATACTTGGAATAGTTTGGCCAATATCTGTCAAAGGAATGGTTTGTAGTGGTAGTATTCGTCTGTTGGAATCCCATGTTAGAATTGTCCCCCTGGAACCACTGCATGTCGTACGAGGCGACCAAATGAATCAGTGAACTAGGCTGATTGTGTCACCGTGCCCTTGCGTTGGTCATAATATCAGTCACTTGACTGTTTGACCGAGACTCCAGCAGTTACACGCACCCGTCTTATAGCTGGGATACATTTTAGTACATCCTTTCACTGCATACATTCTTTCTCGACGCCTTAATATTGTTTCAGGTCGGCCATTGGAGTGAAAAGGATAGATTAGTTCTGCAACAAGCTCGACTCTTGAGAGACAGGAACCGATCGTCACGTGACCAAAACCGAACACAAATCGTCACAACTATCCAAGTATGTGTGTGGAAACGCCACAAATCCAATGCAAATGTCAACTCTGTCTTTACAAATAAATACGTTCCTATTCTAAGCTGTTATCACTTTAATAAGAAATTTGTTGTTACATGAATATAAAGGCAACATTTAATGTTTCAAACTGAAAATAATTGGTTGTATATAGTTATAGAAGGAAATATACCAGTCGGTTTCCAACCATTCCACATACTTTCACAGCAAACATAATAAATACAATCTTTATATCATCTTTAGTTTTACTGGAGGTCTTGGCTGGGGCGTATCTCTGTTACAGCAAGTTCAATTCAAGAGTGTTTCTATTGTCTGACAACTCTTAAAGATAGAGGAGGTTAAGAGACATTCCGAACTCGGGATGTTACACATTTTATTGCTGCTGAAAGCTGAAAGCAACGTCCAGATACGTCCGGAAACATTTTCTCCATTTCTTAAATTATAAGTAATACGTCGTTCATGATGTGGCTGTAATCTCGCTGCCAGTCTTATATTACAATGCAGGAGTTTCACACATGGCACCAAACACAACATCTTGATCTTAATGTAAAGCTGACAAAAGCCCGTGAAGCAATGGCCATTGTAGAGTCCTGGTTAGGACTGCTTTCCAATAATCTATTGTAGTTGTATGAGGTGACCAATGAATAGGGTCGTCAAGCTTGGTGACCAAAGTGTTCTCTCGTAACGTCACAGGCATGGTTCAATTCCCAACGTGTGAATCATACTATGGAGCACAAGAACCACCTTCGGGCCATGGACCAACCAGGGTGCCCCCATGTTTATTAAGGGTTAGAATTAATTAATGTCGGTATTAAGAGGTTGGGATCGTCAGTGTTGGGGGCTTGGCTGACAGCGTTTTTTCCGTTACGTAATACTTTAATACGTTGATATCGCGCAAAAACAAATGTCTTATATTTTAGTGCTTCAAGAAATAGAATACATGCACAGTTACATTTCTAGTTATAACAGTTTTATGGTAACCAGTTGTATGCAAACATGAAAAGTTTAGGCTTCTCGCGGATGTATTATGGTCGTTTTCCTTTTCCAGGTATTTTACAGACCTTTCTTCTTTACCTTGTTTGGATTAAGTTTGGAACACAAATGCGTCATTGCTTCTAAGCATGGGTATTAATTGCCAGATCCTCTTACAGTTTAAGTTGAAGTTTTCATGTTTTCAATTGAGTTCTGCACAGAAACGTCTTATGGCCAAATCTCCAGTTACCACACAAATTACGTTCAAGTATTCCAAAAACACTTGCGTAATAAAAGCTTCAAAAGAGTATGGTTAAGATCAGCAGCGGGATATTGTTACGCGGAGATATAGATTACCCCTACCTGAAGCTCTACCATTATTGCTTGTAGTTGGTTAGTGTGACAACCGTAGGTTTTGTAGCGAAGACAAAAGTGTGTCATATGATCTTCTTGAAATTTTGCTAAAGATTAGGATGAACATTTCCATAATTATCCTATTTACTTTACACGCCCATCTTATAACCAGCGTTGTTTAGTGTTCTGTTCACTTTGCGAACTATTTACAGTTACCCATAGTGTTCCTGGGGAACTTCTTTAATCCAGACGGCTATATGGACAGTTCTGGATTGTCGAGGTTTGGTTACCACAGGTTTCTTATGAGATGAAGTTACTTACATTGCGAACGTATATTGCGCTAGCTTCCACATACAAAGTGCATGCCCTATGAGCTCACATTATTACCCCGGTCAACGGATCAGTGTGCACAACCCAAGCTGGCTTTGAGGCAGTGGAAGGTTAACAGGCGTATGGCCATCTCATCCCACCGGGTACCCATTCACTGCTTGGTGAATAGAGGCAAATTTGAACAAAGTCACTTGCCAGAGGTGAGACCACATGTGTTACATGTGATTCGTTGTGAGGGCAAGACTGAAGTCAAGTTGCCAAACATGGTCACCCATCCATGGACTCTCCGCCATCAATGTTGGTTAACTTCAACTGATCTGTGACCTAAAGACTTTGCACAGAACCACACACCACCACTGTTATTATGACAGTCCTCATTACCATGTACCCATGGCTTCTTGTAAGTGTCCATAACCAGCATCACTTCATTCCCAACTCCCAAATATAGCTAAAACTCCATCATAATCTGAAATTCCGTTCAAAGCACAGCAAAACCACATTCACTGGTTCACGCTATTTGTATTTTCTTACCGCAGGTGGACCCATATGTAAAGTTCAAGACAATTCCAAGGAATGGACGTCCTCTTGTTGCCAAAGAAAATCTGGAGGGATTCTGTATGGATTTAGCCCAAGCCGTGGCCGAGAATGTGGGCTTTGACTATGATGTACGCTTTGTCAAAGACAATTCTTATGGGGCCATAATGAAAAATGGCACATGGAATGGCATGGTTGGCGAGCTAAGTCGACACGTATGTATTGGTTAATTGTATTTTCATGAAAACAGGTAATCAGAATTATAAAAAAGGGTCACACAAGACCACAGTGAAATCCGAGTATTGTCGAGGGATTACAAGAAGAGACAGTGCATGAGTCAAGACATCTGTCCATGTTACCGAAGTTGAAATTTAATTAAACTTTGAAAGTAAAGCGTTCTTCGTAAGGGTTTAAATCCCACTGCTGTTGTTCCCCCCGAACATTTGGCGCAGAATAACTGTGTGGCCTAGAAGCTATTTCTCTCTGGGCTCATCGAACCAATCTTCATGCGTACTTTCTTTTTGTCAGACAGGCATCAAAGACACAAGAAAGTTCTGTAACTACTGAACAATTTGAGTTCAAGTAAAACCCTTCCATTTCCTTTCCTAGTGTGGGTAATAACGTGTCAATAAAGTCTTGTTAAAAACAGATTTGAAGTTTAAGTTAACGTTTCTTGCCACGTTTTAATTCATCAGGATGAAAACGTGAAAGTGTTTGGAGAATTCATGCACGAACATGTCAAACCTAATGGGAGCGAACATTCTTTTATGTAATATGATCCTGTATAATGCTAAGTATCGTAAATGTATGCTATAAATTGCATGTAGATTCTGTAAGACTGATGCAGTAAAAACCCTTATTCAATAACTCGCTCAATAGCACATTCTTATATCCACTTATCGAACTACGTATGCGCTCACTTGCACACTCACTCACTCTTTCACCCATCTGCATACTCATTCATGGAATGATGAGGTAGGACAGTGGTTGAATTAATGTCTCGTCAAGTCGAAGACCCGGGTTCAATTCCACGCAATGTAAGAATCGGTGTATGGTATCAGCTGTCATAATAGTACAAGACTATTGAGAAATGTGGCTAAAAAATCAAGTTGAACGCATTCATTCATTCATTCATTCATTCATTCATTCAATTCTTTATTTACTCACTGATTTCAGGAAGCAGATCTTGCCATAGCACCCCTCACCATCACAGCAGCTCGTGAGAGAATCATTGACTTCACAAAACCTTTCATGAGTCTTGGAATCAGCATTATGATCAAGAAGCCAGAGAACCAAAAAGCTCATGTGTTTTCCTTCATGGATCCCCTGTCTTATGAGATCTGGATGTGTATTGTGTTTGCATACATTGGTGTGAGTGTGGTGCTATTTTTGGTGAGCAGGTTTAGTCCCAACGAGTGGCACATGTGTGATGACTCCTCTATTACCAATGACTTCACCATCTCGAACAGTCTTTGGTTTTCTCTCGGAGCTTTTATGCAACAAGGATGTGATATATCGCCAAGGTAATATCATTTTCAATGTACGTTATTCACATATGATTGACCGAAAAATATTTTTTCATAATATTCTTAATCGATAGAATGTCATCCCCTAGTTTACAGTTCCTTGTGTAGTCTCGTTGTTTTTTAATATAAACATGCATTTAATGAAATTCGGGGAAGTCACAATTCTATACTGAGGGAAACAAATAAGGGAACATCTCTCAATCGCAGTGTTCCTTTATCTATACTCTGATTTTTGTCAATACAGTGCAATACAATGCCTGTGAAGAAACCTCGAAACTAATAAAGGAACATTCATATGGTTATGCATTCCCTTACTTGTTTCTGTCAGTATATATTAGTAGGTAAATTGAAATCGAAACTGCTACCTCGCCTACATGTGCATGGCATTTAGTTCATCTGAAGCCGAAATTGATTCGTATTTGTGTGTTGATTCATTCTTTGACAATCAATTACATCGGCTGGATTCCATCAATTAAACATGATTTATGATCTAGGCGAGAGATGACACTGGTACTACTTTAACGAATTAACAAGTCAACCTCAGACAAACATAGTCTTTCTGTTTTGAAATATATTTTGTTTTGAATTTTAAAAATATACTTGGTTATTGTTCAAAAATATTGTTTCTTTGTTCAAGGTCGATGTCAGGGCGAATAGTGGGGAGTGTGTGGTGGTTCTTCACGTTAATTATAATCTCGTCCTACACTGCCAACCTGGCAGCCTTCCTCACCGTGGAGCGTATGTTGACACCGGTGGAATCGGCGGAGGACTTGGCCAAACAAACAGATATCCACTATGGTACCGTCAGTTCTGGAAGCACAAAGATGTTCTTTAAGGTAAAACCTTTATGTATATATTTGTACATTAACCTGTGTGGATTGTGAAATTAGGAGTGTCTCTCGGCAAGAGGCGACTAAATGGATTGGGTGGTCTGGTTTGTAGACAACATGCTGTGGTACATCTACGCATAATATCAATCAGTTGTTTGCCTGGGCAGACTATTGCCCAACAGGAGGTATTGGAATACCGGAGCATGTGACCACAAACAAGCAAACAAACAAAACTATTTGTGCACACTTATGCCACACTTTCAAAACTCGTATTTCAACTTTGTTTCACCCATCAATTCCCGATGAGCAATATTGAGTGAATGTTGTAGACACAATATTCCAACCCTTACCATGGCGGCCTCATTGAATCCTGCATCATGCCAACCAGTGGTCGAGTGCATGAAAACACACCGTCAGATCACACAGTGAAACGTCCGCCGATCCTATTGTAAGTCTGCTCTCACGATAAGTGAGTGAGTGAGTTAGGATTTACGCCGTTTTTAACAATATTTTTAGCAATATCACGGCCGGGATACCAGAAATGGGCTTCACACATTGTACCCATGTGGGAAATCGAACCCGAGTCTTCAGCGTGGCGAGCGGACCCCTCCTGGATGTTGCTGAAATATCGCTAAAGGCGGTTTGAAATTATTATCACTGACTCACAATAAGTGCATTCATTTTAACTTAGGTGGCACAGCGTCTGATGCGCCAAATATTCCCTTTCTGAATGCCATATTTATAAATATTTATATCTGACGGATGTTCAACTCCCAGGTTGGACGTGGTTGTCATTATGGTTATTGTTTTGTCAAAACCGTTACACCAGTTCGTTGACGTGGTAAATGAAACTGAACTGGGTCAGGTTTGAAGCCAACACCAGGAGACTCTCTGTGATGAAATTCAGATGGTCTCAGAGGCTATAAAATGGTTGAAACAGTAATACACAGTTTATCTTCGTAATTATTCACAAATATACAAATGGAAGGTATTAAGAAGAAATACTGATGAACAATTTAATAAACGGTATTTTGACATCCTGCAGCACTGATTTCGCAAGATAACGATATCTAAAATTTAAATTCATGCACCTATTGATATCAGTACTTGTGCTTACGTCAATATTTTCAACAGTTTATGTTATATGTGTGTGCAAGTATGTATTTGTACATGGTTGAAAGAAAATGGTTCCAACCAAAATGCTAGACATTGTTGCATAACCGATTGTTACACGTTACCAGTGACATGATTACACAACAGTGAAGGTGCACATATCCTGCACAGTGAGTCTCGGTAACTAGGAGGGTACACGTGCCACTCATGCCATCAATATACTAATCCTAGCTGCGGAGTAATGTCCCTTTGAATATACAGACATTGACGTCGGGTTGCGTACCATGATATCATCGGTTTGTGATGTCCATAGTTTCCTCGGTTTGTATACCATGATATCATGCCTTACAGTAATAGGGAGATTAGGTGTGAGGACACTCAAATTGCTACCCAACTCAGCAAAATGTAATTCCTTCACACATGAATAAATGTTTTGACTAAGATGACACCGGGTGTTGAGAGGGCGCAGGTGTCCTGCAACTTGGGGAGACAGTAATGTGCACACGCCACAATCCCTATTCATACTGGTAAACAATGCCAGAGCCACCACGCTATGAGGTAATACCATGTCAAGTTATCCTCTTATTGATCGCGTCAGCAGATAACATCACGGAAACATATTTGTTATTCCTCGTGTACAGCTCTTGCTCAGCAGCCGTGAATTATGCTCACATGGCATTATGCGTTATATTACACGTGTATTGCCATGTAACGTATAGGAGTTCAAGCACTGTGTGATGCAGTCCGACTGGTTGAAACATGTTGTTGGATTCGGGGCGAGAGGAATTTGTGACCTTTCACTGGGTATAAATGCTTCTCTCGAGAAGAAGCAAGTCCCAAATATGAAAAAAACCGTATTATTTGGCACGGTGACATAGATATCGCATTCTTTATATATTGCTTGATAAATATATATATGAGATCTTTTAGATTCGGTGGATTTGTCTCTGCATCAAGTTACCAAGACGAATCCTGTGTCTCGTATTCAATTGATGTAAACCGGTGTATTATAACGTAAGATTCCTTAGAAACGTCATGTCTGACGTCAAACACCTGATGTCAACACAAATGTTCAGTGGTCCATTCATATAATTTGCCTGTTAGACCTTGTATCGTAGATCTTGTGTATCGTGCTTATTGCCGGGCGTTTACGTTTTGAAATTTAGAACACGTAGATTAACATCTACGGAAAATTTCAATATGCAGAATCATTAAGATTTTTGTCTGGATCGGAATATGATAAAATTGTAATGGCAGACTGGATGTAGAACCCTGCATCGTTTTAGGAATGTCACCATTGAGAATAGGACATCGGAAATAAAATTCTTCAGTTGATTTACCATGACTTATCATTTGTTCCTTCTGTAATCGCCAAACACGGCACACCCACATTGATGCCGACAAGTATGCACCCATCCACATAGCTTATACTTAGAATTCTACCTGTTCAGTTGTGCGGTATCTGTTGGTGTCATTTCACAAAGTTAGAAATTGCCTCGGAGTAACTTTAAATGCGAACTAAATAGCTGAGTGTTTAACACATTGACTTAAATGAATTTTCGGAAATTAACAATTCCCTCAGCCGGTTGTTCATTGAACTGCTTTATCTTTTTAATTATATATGAGTCAAAAGCAAAGATGACACAGACATCTTGTCACGACAGAATAGTCCATTTTCACCGTTCTCCACACTCCGATACGTTCTGTTCTCTAAGCTCCCAACAGTCTTCTGAGCAAGTGCCCTGATAGTCAATCATTTTGATGAACGTCCATTGCGATACAAACGTAAAGCATTTCTTATTGGAGCGTAGGGGCCTCCTTGAAGCCCCGCCAAGACCTAAAGATTCTTAATGAGGGTGGTAATATTTGATGTTCTACTTTGGGAAGCCAGGGTAATGGCTTGAAACACCACGGAGGCCTATTGACCACTGTGTTACACACTGAATATATCACCCGCGGGGTCTTGTGTTCATCTAAATGGACCCCTGCCCGAACGTTAGAAATGGTGCTCTGAACAAAATAGGCAACGACCACTTGCTTAACTCATGACTTTTTCGGTTCGTTTCAGAATTCGAAAGTAGCAATATATCACAGGATGTGGTCCTACATGACTTCAGCGCAACCAAGTGTGTTTGTGAACTCTATAAAAGATGGCATCGAAAAGGTTCGAACCGAAAAAGGAAAATACGCTTTCCTTATAGAATCCACCACCAACGATTTCTACAATCAAAGAAAACCATGTGACACGATGAAGGTTGGACAGAACCTCAATTCAAATGGTTTCGGGATAGCAACACCAGTTGGATCCGAACTCAAGTACTGTGTCATTCTTGTTGATTATATTGTGTTACCATTATATATCAAATGCTCCCAACACTTTCAGCTTTACTCTTTCACAGAGTACGCAGAATGTACCACGATGTACATGTACTGACTGACTGACTGAGTATGGTTTTACGCCGTTTTTAGCAATATTCCAGCAATATCACGGCGGGGGACACCAGAAATGGGCTTCACAAATTGTACCCATGTGGGGAATCGAACCCGGTCCTTCGGCGTGACGAGCGAACGCTTTAACCACTAGGTTACCCCACCGCCCCCGATGTACATGTAGATGACGCATAGGGTATTAAAGTATTATTCTAACCAGAAAAGTCTAAATTGAGTGTTAAAGGTTGGCTGAGCTCCGGGTTTGGTAACAATATTGAGTGCAGAGCAAGACGTTGAGAGTTGCATGAACTGTTATTCTGCTGTGCCTCATACAATGTGAATTAGCTGTTTTACAGTGTGAAACAGTGTTTTAACACGAATCATGAATGCTGAAACTGCCACAGACACCCTTTAAGAATGATTTATCATTCGGATTCATAAACGGTCTATGAAGTTCAACTGACTAAAGATGTTTTGAAAAGGCTTGGCACTTTCTTGACAGATTTACAATGTGAAAAAACATCAAAGGCAATAGAACCCTCTGCACTCTGAATAAATTCTAGTACAATACAACACAATCCAAAAGCAATGGAAATATATTTTAGAATCACGGACATCTTTAAACGTTTTTCACTATTATTTCACTCTATACACTCTATAGTTTTCTTCGTATCAGTCATGCAACGAAAGGAAGTTTATATGTTACTATTTCACGCTCTTACATTCTCTTCCTAATATCTTGACGGATACTAATAACATGTTTTGAGCCGAAGGCATTGAAACTTCACATCAATACCATAATGCGTTTAATCAAAGACAGTCTAATCTGAAATAATATACAACGACGAGGGAAGGGACTGCAAAACCTTCATAATCTTGCTCCACAGGGACTACTTGAACTTTGCTGTTCTGGAGCTGCGAGAATCCGGCAAATTGGCACAATGGCAGAAGCACTGGTGGTACGACCAAGGGGAGTGTGCTACAGAGAGCACGTCCACGGTATTATTTTTCCCCTAAGTAGTCACGTTCCCGACATATTTAGAGTAATTGTTCTTAAAGCAACTATCTGTAATCGCACCGAGAGGAACAGATTAGAACAATTTCCGGCTCACATATTGACAAGGGGTACGACTAACCCTGATTATTTTTAGTTAATGAAAGTATCATTTGGTAAATGGCGAGCATGAATACTAGATAGAAATGGTGAATTCTAAAAGTCCAACACTGATGATTAATTCGATAGTACGATTTTAAGCTGTTCAGACACATTAATCTTTAAGGTAAGTTTTATTTCCTTATATTATCACGTAGTGATAGTTTTACATTAATTAATGAAAAACATGATTATAATATCGTCTAAGACGTACAAAGGTCACTGGTTGTGGAATTACGTCGGTTGATGTTATGTAGGTGATTATTTCGTTATGTTTTGTTTTTAAACTTGCTGATCAAACCTCTAATTATATGTCCTCTTTATATGTCCATTTTCCTCTTAGGAATTAAGATATTCCTCTACCGTATTTCACATAAGTTCAAGAAGAATAAGATGCTGAAGAAGGTATGTCACTCTCATTGTTTTTCAGGACGGGACCCAGAGTGCACTGACGTTACAAAACGTGGCAGGTATATTTTACATTCTTATTGGAGGACTCATTCTTGCCCTGGTAACAGCCGTGGTCGAGTTTTTCTACAAGTCTCGTGTCGACTCGAGAAAATACAAGGTATGAGAAAGATCTATATCCCTACCTGTAACTCTGTTCTCATGAATGTTCCTTTAATGAATGGCGTTGTTGTCGACATTAACGCTAATGTCACCATCACAATCACCGCAGCTTCGTGTAATTTGATGTTGATATCATGTATGTTCAATCGCAATGAATATGTAATATCAATAGAATATCACACAGTATCTTCCAGGTGTTTACCAATGCATCTATCACACATTTGTACCATATTTGAAAAGTACAAAGGTCTGTAGCCTAACATGTTATAGTATTATAACAAGCTTTCACGTTGTTTTCTTTTGTCCTTTCATTCTTTTATTCTTTTCCTACCCTTTTCATCAATATTTCATGTTGCCCTATACCCCTATCATAAAACATGATGACATGGCATATAAGTAGAGTATTAGTCAAAATTTTGAAAGAAAACCTTGGCGTATCTTTACATATTTGAAATATATTTTCATACCAGGATACATTCTGCAAAATAAAAGTACCTTCCTTTTAAACGTAAAGAGCTCGAGCATATAAGATGGAATCATGGGCGTTTTTTACCATCTTCCAGACAACGTTTGGCTCCACAGTAAGATCAAAAGCTCGACTTTCGTTCCGTGGTCATTCAGACAGCGATGAACCCACCTCTCCCCCTAGGAAGACATTGAATACTGTGAGTTAGCTTCTTTCTCCCACAGTCGTCTCAAGCATCTTGGTTAGTCAAGATTCAATCCCGTGGTTTCTTTCTGACTCAGCGGATCATATTCTTGATTTTCCCGTCAAGACAAATACATACAAATACTGTTTTCCTGTTATGACTTGCAATGAAAGGAAGAAACCTTTCCTATCACGGCTAAACAAAAAAGATACTGTTTTCTTGTCACCGCAAAGAAATATCCTCTTTTGGTCATGACCAACGAAGAAAGATGTATCCCTTCATAGTGTACTTCGATAGTTGTTATTTCAAGTCTTGACTAACAAAGATCAGTACTGTTGCACGTTATTTTATCCTATAAATTAACATATATTTTTAATATTCTTATATTCCTTCTCAATTTGTCTAACAATGCCATGCATTTTCTTATATGCAAATGTTGAAACTTTAAGCATATTGTCTTTCACGACATTACCATTTTAAGCATAGTCTGTGTTTTCAAAGATTTGATAATTGCACGTTTGGGAAAATATGTAAAACCAAATATGACATTATACATGTATTTAAGCTTCGAATTGTACGTTGACTGTTCAAAGAAAACATATTTTGTAGGAAAATTAGTTGGTATCTATTCAATTGATTTTTATACAAACACATTGCCCTTGAAATTGAGCTCATGAAATGTTAAACATGAAACAATTTCATGATGATGACATCTCATCAAATCCTTTATCAGTTTGAATGAGGTATTTTATATTTTGTGTTTTGGAATGTGTATCATTTTAGCACCATTTTGTTCTATATGCACCTCACAATACATCTGTGGTTGCTTGTACCTTTTCTCTCCCACCTGCGCTTCACAATCCTTTTTAACATTTTCTTCTTTTGAGATGCTACTAATAGCAGGTCGGCGTTGTTTTTAGCTATTTGTTTTTATATATTTGAACAAATGGTATTCTTGTAATAATATTTCGTTTTCCTATGCATATCAGAGCATGAATAACCGCAAATTGAAAATTATTCTTCACATTTCTATCTTTAAGCTTGTATACTCACTAGTTTTTATGGTAGTACTTGTATCGACGTTATGTTCACCTTTCAGCGGCATTTGGTCAACATTCACATTATTGACATTACTTTTCATGAGCAGTACATGCATATATTACCAATACCACAGGGAAGATATAATGACATTAGACACAACGTTTTGTCAGAATACATACGTTCTACATTCATTTTACACATCCTTATTCAAATATTCAAATTGGGGTCTATGTTCCCCAGGGAGGAATGCGAATGAATTTTTGCATTTCCATATAAGGGGTAAACAAATACACCATACGTTAAGCAACAATGCATCTGGTTCTGACTTCTTTTCTTGATACATCAATGGCATTACAAACATGAAACAGAATTTATTTTGTCAGAGGAAAACGATAATTAACTGGAAAATATATGTTTGGGCCTACACATTTTAACGCAGATTGCTGTGCATCCTCAACAACAAATCCAATGCATGACAACTAGTGTACGACTAACAGTGTTATTTGAAACCTTATTGAATTACAGATTGGCGAACGTAAGATGGCTTTTCCTTGAACAATGCTTTGAACACACCAGCTGTTACTTTCTAGCCTTTTTTTTGGCTCTGGCAGTTTTATAAGATGTTTCCAATTTCTACAGGAATGGACTTAGTCAGCGAGGCATCTAATATTTGTGTCAATTCTTTCAGTATACATACACCGGTCCTACCCCCATCGTTGGAGTTGACACATACCAAGACGGAAACACCCACACACAAGTCTGACTGAGCCCGGATTATATCATTGTACAAACTGTGTACAATGGTAGCAGCCAGAGTTAAAATATATAACTAAAACAGACAGTCTTCGTTCATGGTCATTGTCGAAGTCACAACATTAAACAGATGTCAGTTCTGAACAATGTGGTAAACTAAATATGAGATCGTGTCATTCGGCTCCCCGTAGCTTCACTTTAGGATAGGACTGACTGACTGAGTTTGGTTTTACGCCGCTTTTAGCAATATTCCAGCAACATCACGGCGGGGGACACCTGAAATGGGCTTCACACATTGTACCCATGTGGGGATTCGAACCCGGGTCTTCGGCGTGACGATCGAACGCTTTAACCACTAGGCTACCCCACCGCCCTTTAGGATAGGAAGGCCATTTGGTATTAGGGTTTGAGATCAGGAGGCCGAGGTCAATATAGCTGTCCGATTAGACAGAAAGATTGTTACCAGGCTGCACAGTAAATTATATCAGAAAATATGTATTAATACACCAACCAATATGATCGGCAATGAGAAAACTACCATTGATGTGTAAAAAAACACAACAGTCCAAATAACTGTTTTAGTATGGTCTAAGCTCTCGATAATGCAACCAATTATGACTCCAACAATACTTCATCAAAGAAAGAGATAAAGTACATGATAGTCTTATATCGCAGAAGAGCCAGCATCTTTTGTCAAATTGAAAAGGTGATCTGTTAATGTTCTTGCTGACCTAATCCTTGATCACACAGTGAATGGTATTAACCATATATATAATGGATCCAAAAACAAGTGGGCCAAAAGATTTTTTTATAAGAATTATGTTTTATCCAAGGGCATTAACCATTAACAGGTGGTAAGAGTGGAATGTGTTTTCAGGCTTTCGTTCTTATCCACATATGGCAAAATGCAAACAATGAAAGCCTACCATTTTAACAATGAGCCAAACAAACTGCTTACCTGCCAAAGACCATGGATACGAAACAAAATGATGATGAGCCATTATGATTTAGTTGAGCACGATATGTATAACAGCCTCTTCGGCATGTGCTCTATGTTCTGAATAATAAGTAGCCATTAATGAATTATGACTATATTATTTTTGCACGTTCCTGTCTGTTCCGAAAGGAATTTTCGATGAGTTTGTTTAGTCACAGACACAAGGATTTTGTATCCATGCTGTGAATGAAACTAAAGGTATCATTGCTGCTTCGATATATTGCAACCTTTCAGACCACGTTCCGTGTTTAATGTTTCTGTTGTGCACACTCTACATATTGCTGTACATACCTAGTAGGACACGGGGTGACAATGCAACACACGGCACCCCGACAACGTCACCACAGAGAGCGGCATGCATTGTTCACGTTGTTTTGGCCTTGAGACATTGAACGATATCAAAATCGTCGTTCCTCCAACATGTGCAAACACTTCATTCCAGAATGGCGATCCTAATTTTTCAGGAGGGTTTTTCAAATTCACGTTTTTAAATCTCATTAAACACCCTAGGACAATTTAATGGAATGGCTAACCGATTAGTTATTTGTTCTTCGTTTTCTGGTTTCTGGTTTAATGATACGATACATCTATGATCCAAAAGGTATCTCTAGGAAACTGCTACTACATGAACACGAAACTCTTATAAAAAGCTCAATAAAAGGTGCAAAAACTGAAACTTTGTGTCATATTCTAGATATTTGTTAGCAGTCGTTCGTTTGTCTGCTAACAAGGGTTCCATCACAAGTTGGTTTCGGTTGAGGTGAAAGGGCATCTCCGAAGAACAAATAATGAAATTGTTGTAGCCTAGCGTTAAGTTTATTGAGTATCAGAACACTTCCAATCAAGATTAACTCGTGCATATTGATTGTCTTTCATGCAACACAGTTTCTCTATACATCGTCTGAGCATTCGTTCGTAGCCTTATCTCTTTAAGACTGCGAAGGGAACATACGGGTTGCATATATTCTAATTGTTCTTGGGTTGGCTATTTTATCATGTTTGTCAACCTAGATATATATTACTAGCTCCATTAGACATGGTTTCACCTGATTGCTCAATTGAACATAGACTGTCGTGTAGGTGGACGTTATGTTCTGTTTTCGATCACTTTGGTTCAATAGGATACAACGTATGTTAGTATTTGTGCGTCTTTACTGCTTTTGGTAAGTTTGTACATTGTATAATCAGTATAATGCTTAAGTGAATTGCAAAATAGGATGAATCTTACTTATTTAAAATTAAGCCAGTTATTCAAAGTCTATATATGTTATAAACTATACCCATTTCGTTTATTTCTTGTTGGCTGCATACTATTTTAAATCTATATTGTTACATGACGTGAATTATATTTTATGTTAGAAGTTGTAGATAATATCATAGTCCTGCCAAGTTTACGCATGCAATTTTGGCTTATGTATTAATAATACATATTAATATTGTCTTAGAGGTAGCCAGGCACATCACATGGACATACAGCATGGTCACAATGCAGTATCAAATACCTTGTATCTGTTTTTCTTAGGTTTGCACTTCATTATCGTTCATACAGTTGAATTGCAATAATAGTAGAAAGTATTTCAAGACATTCTTAATTAGTTTTATATTGTATTCCAAGCCACACGGTCGCTTCAGTGTCAAATACACTTTTGTAATATTGTCTATAATATTACCTTAAGACTTGTTTGTTTGTTTCTAGTGGTGCACTTTGAGAGTAAAGAACCCCGATCACGATCTTCCACGTGTATCAATAAAAACCAGTTTGATCTATCTTCTAGGCCCATTGGCCAATGCCGTTTTATGTGTTTTCATGTTATCTCTCTATTGCCTATACCATGAATGAACTTGATTTCAAATATATGTTCCTCCACTTTTCTCCAAGCTCAACTGATGTTTCTTGGACATTGGTCGGATTGTGTACAATGCATTGTGTATGAGCCAATATAAATTATTAGTTTTGAAGAGAAGGAATTTCATGTCTGAATTCTGCTTTCAGAGTTGCTTCGTGTGTCCTGCTAACCAGTGTGTATATATTCATATGCCACATTCAGCTGTTCATGCCGTTTAGCATTCCATCTAGTACATTTGTTGAGGAGGAGAGATCGTCACAAATTGTGAATAATTTTGTCAGTCTTTTGAAAGTCATCCTGTAAATTTGTAATAAAATTCGTGAGAATCAGTGTCGATTTGCTGTGTGTTTTCATTGGTTTAGATCATCCTTAAAAATCGAAATCCATGGTTATAGCATGCGGTTAAACCTTTATTACATTGCATTACCATGTTTAGCTGGAGCAGGGTTATGCAGACAAGCTGAGACTTCGATCGGAAGGAATATGTCACCTTATCTGTGCATTTGGTGGTCGTGAGAGCTTGCAATAGAACCTGTGGCCAACGACTGAGACACAGCCAAAGGTTATATTGGTTCAGTATATTTCGGACACAGAGCGTCCATGACCCCTATGTGTAGAGCACACAGCTACCTTGGCCTGGGCATACACACTGGACACACAAACATCAATACTGGACACTCAACTATATACACTCAATCTGAGCTTCGGTGGGGTGGTCCAGTAGTTAAAGCCTTAACTTGTCAAGCCGAAGGCCCAGGTTCGATTCTCCACATGGGTACTTCCGGCATATATTTCATATGAATCTATACCTTTGAAACACATGCTCATCGTACATTTTCGTATGCACAAGTACCTCGTTCATGTATGCCATGACCGGATTGTCAAGTATTTCCAAACATGAATTGCAAAACAGATACCCAAGTAAATACATGATCATACAGTATTTCCGATGCATTCCTTTGAATTTCAATGGGTGCTGATATTTCCGATTTCGTTCTATGTAAATTTACGTAGGTGGGGAAACACATGTAGATTTTCAAATTTGCAAATGTTTACACACCTTAAATATTAATGTATCATACAGGATGTCAAGGATATGTATATGAACGGTTCATACGCCTTCATGTTACCTGTGCTCAAGCAAGATGATCATTTGTTTCCATCATGTGAATTACTTTGTTCATGTAATTTCATCTTCACACTTATTAGTACGTTTGCAATTAACGTTCACGTGACCTCATTATTCTTATCATCAAAAGAGCCTGACTAAGAAAGCAATATTACACGAGCTAACATGGTTTATTAAGCTGCACTCGCTCTTGCTACCAGTATCAGTTACGCTTTGTCTGCGGTGTTGGCAAATCTTGTGAACGGTGAACAAAGGGGTGATGAGCTGCCCCTTTGTCCTTGCAAGTGTCCCTACCTGTCCCAACAGAATAGCACTTTATCTCTCTTGGAGCGCGGCCAAATACGTTACACGAACCAACTCGTAATTTCTTAAGTCTCTTCGGCTCGCGCATCAGTACTGTAAAATAGGTTTTTTTCTGTACATAATTGGAATATTTTTGCACTGCATGTGACCTTTCTTAATAGTCTCACAGTGCCTGAACCATGTTATTTCTCCTTCCGCCCAGCCTTTGCTGTAATAACGACATTCATGTCAAACACAAGTAAATGTGATGTTGCACTGCTGTAATTTTCCCTGTCGGAGAAGTCCTTCTCACAAGATATATATTCCGTTGTTTGAAGCAGGCCTATGACTATTACGCCCCAGTGTTGCTAAGCATCTTGCAGACCTTTAGCCTGACATAGACGCAGACCCGCATGTTCAAGTTCAGATCTGACAGGTGCCGAAAAATATTGATTTCCAACAAGAATGCAATATCTCAGTGGGTTATTGTTTTCCAAAGTAAGTGGAGTGCTTTCTACAACATTGTAGACAATTGTATCGCTGTCCTGATGATATTCCCCCGAACGGAAGCTCTACCCATTTAGGGTACAATGTGTATGTTACAGATTTGTAGGGAATAGTCTTAAGACTTATCTACTTTGACCAGGATTCTTCGAACTTGCAACAGTCGTTTGAGAAGATCAAGAGAGAATGGGGTAGTGTGCGATGTATCTGGCAGACGATATGGAGAAAGTTCGAAGAATGTTGCTGTATAGAAATACCGGTTATGTTTGAAAAGTACCCTCAATCTGATAGCCAGTGAGATTATTGTGAAAGATCGCAATATGTATCATCATAAACGGGCCCAGATGAAAGTAGATGTCATTCATTCCCACATTATATACCCTTCACAGACACGGGACATGGTTGTTACAGGTAGGGCAAACACTTTCTTCTATCTGCCGGTT